CCCCCCCCCCCCCCCCCCAACATTTTAAATGTAGTTCACAGTGCTATCTATCATCCTTTTCAGCTTCCAGGGGAACCACTTTAAAGAGGATATCAAGAGAATTCTTTCCAAGCTGCTTTCAGTCAAAGTCTACACTCCTATCTTGTTTTAGGGATGAGCGAAGCTTTTTCTGTCGTAGTCGTTCGCGATTCATTTTCTCCACCCTAAAAACACAGTGAGAAAATACCTCAGTCTACTCAGGAACATTTAAAACCAGCTATTGTGTTCACTATTTGTATCAGCATGGGGCACACAATGTTAAGCACTGTCCACACACACCAAGGCAGGCAAACTCTGGTCCTTCTATATTATTTAAAAAAGCAGCTGAACTACACTAAGTTCAACTGCCTTAAAAGGGGTAAACAAGTTTCTAGTCTAACCCCCAAACAAGATTATCGGGGTCAGTAAAGTTCTAGATTCCTTCAATCAAGAACAGCATTACACTGTCGTCTTTAGATATTTGCCTTCTGGTAGAGCATTAGGTACTGGTCCATGCGTGTGGAAATAGGTATCAGATTCTGATATCCGGTGATCTGATCCCTTATGCCAAATCCTATTATGGTGAATGATGCATTACAAGAGATGCTTTAAAACACTTTTGATCCATATCTCACAGTAAAGTGCACGTCTGTTAGAACCAGGTAACAAGACCAGCAGTTTAAACGAATGGCATCCTGTCACAGCCCCTCATAGACCTTCCTAGCATTATTCAATTTTCTTTCTTGCCCATCATTGGGGTCGAGAACATTTTAAAAGTTTGAAGGTTTAAACCACCTGCAAACTCAAAACTAGACTGAATAACTGGATTAGGTCTATGTGGATTTAAAGTGCAGCTCCCTTTCTGTTTCTTTTACCTGGCTATGAGCATCTCGGAAGTCTCCTTGCGTTTCACTTGAGGCTTCTCTGTGGTCTGTAGAATCATGTCTCTAATCTTTTGCAAACAATCAGCCCGATTCCTCATTTGGTAGCGGCTCACTTCGGAGTTTATGATGAGATCACCTGATTTACTGATCTTATTCTTGTGCTGAGGACGAGAAAAAGGAAAAATAATTAACCGCAAGTCCTCGGTTCTGTTTTTGCCTTTCCTGGTCTGAAGAATGTAAAATTTCCCAAACTACGTTTGGGAGGGAAAGGCTGACAATTACCAGCACAGCCATCTTCTGCCGCACATCTTCTGGAATCCAGTCAGCAGATGCCAAGTGGAATCTAACTTCTGCTTTGCTGTTTACTGTAAGTGAAAAAGAAGAGTGGGTTGTTTCACTAAAGCAGTTCACTTGAAGCATCCTCTCACAGAATGAGTAATCAAAAGCAGCTGCTGCTGTTGACATCCTGATTCCAGTGCAAGCAGTTTGCAGGAGCAGATAGCGGTTAATAACTGTTGTACTCTTGTTCTGCTCAAATTACTCCACAGTTAAAGAAAAACAGTCCAGGTATTTCTACAGACTCTCGAAGAATAGGAAGTGTGAAATAAATTCTAACTTCTAGTTCCCATAATACAAGGAAGAAGTTATTTATTTAAAGGGAAACAGCCAGATAGAACTGGATATAATAATTCTTTCATTCTTTGAAAGTTTAAAAAATAATGTACTTTTGACTACAGTATTTAGGATACCGACTTTTCATGCGTCTTAGCTTGTTCAATGAAAGTGTATTGGCGTGTTTCATGTTCAGTCTCTTGGGAACTATCAAAGTGCAATGATCAGGCTGAAAACAACATAGAGGAGCTGGAAGCAAAATCATTTCCACTGGATTAAGTCAGTCACATGTGTTGCCATCAGCATCCAGTTTTGCAAAGGCTCCTTGCAATACCAAAAGGGTACACTGACTTTGACTCAAGTATCCCTTTAAATTTTTAACGGTCATGGAAAGCAAGAGGCCACTGTCTTCAGTTTGATGAGAATTGTATTTAAACTAGAAAGCAGTAGCAATAGCAACATTTGGTATGCTGTTGTTAGGTAGCGCCGCTATATTTTCTGTACCTTTGTTAACGTTCTGGCCTCCAGGGCCGCTGCTCCGGCAATAGGAAATGGACAACCTATCTGGAAGATAACAATGGAGATGTATTTAATCCACAGCAACATTGACTCCTAGTCACAGAGAAGCAGAGAAAAGGAAGATCTAAACTGGTGCTTGGGACCCCAGCTCGAAAGAACAGTATTAACTCAGAAGCCATACCGATTTTCTCTGATGGAGCCTGATAGAGTTTCTCAAGTGCACGGACAATTGCAACACACGTGCTTGGATGTTTCTATGCCCAGGCTCCCTGTTCTGTTTCAAAGAAATGCAACTGGAGATTAAATACTCACTTAAGGCTTGATCCCAAACCCTACTGAAGTCAGGGGGAAGAAGACTCCCACTGACAGCAATGGGGTAGATCAGGCTGTCAGTTCTTAAACTGAATGTTTTGAGAATTCCCTTTACAGCTCACTCTCACTTGAGTTCAGGAAGCCTGTGACCAGGGTAAGTAATATTTTCAGTTTCAGAGTTTTAGCCCCACTCTCACTGCTTTCTGATAAGTTTGTGTTTCTCTTGAGTCCTACATAGCTAAGTAATTCTGAATTGTAATTGCCTGCCTGCATTATTTCCCTCATCTCTCCCATTTTCTGTTATCACCATTATGCAGACTCTCTTCCAGTCTGTGCTATAAGGTACAAAATAGAGGTGCTGCTCCCACTCTATCATTCTGTCACTTCCCTCTAGTGTAATTATCTTCTATTCATCAGTGCATCTTGTGCACACCATTTGCTGTACAATCTATTCCTTTTCCTTAATTGGCAGATTTCCAGTGCTAATGGAAGCTGTGGTCTTAGCAAAGTTAACGCTTTGCTAATGATTTACCACCATTTGCTTTTTACATAGGTAACTGAACTCCCTCGAGCCCTAAAAATAGTCTGATTGATTTACTAGAAGCTATCAAAAGAACTTCACTGAAAGCATTTTGAATAAAGAAAAGACATTTCTCCTATGTACTTGACTTACCCACAGGAATATCAGGGATGGTTTGTTGGGTCCGATCCTATAAAAGACACGTGATTAAGCAACTGTGGCCTGATGATAAAGCAAGAATTTGTGCTCTAAAATTCATGTAAAGAGCCCAGGTTAAGTGTATACATAAGTGTATAAATGATTGAACTATAATTATCTGCTCATCCGCTGTGTGGTCTAAAGTGCATATTCTCTTTTTTTTTTATCTTGTTAAGAGATGTGCTCACACTGTGTGGCCCAGATACTGCCCTACGCAGTGGTGCTCAATCTTTTTTCCCCACAGGCCAGCCAAGTGGTATGGAGCTGACCTGCAGGCTGAACTAAACCCTGCACGCTAAGATCGGGACCTGCATTATCCCTGTGGGATGGAATTGAGCCCTGGGGCCTCGTCCTGCCCCTGCTTGGCCCCTGTGTGCCAAGATCAGGGCCTGTCTACTGAGATCAAGTCTACACTACCCTGCATGCTGGGACTGGGCCCCCATGCCACCCCTGCGACCAGCATCAGGGCATCGGGACCCCGTGCTGCCCCTGCATGCATGCCCTCTGGCGTGAGGGGGCTCGCTGCAGGTCCAGAAGTTTGTCAGCTGGGAAGTGATGCTGTCACGCTCCGGCCACCGAATTTCTGGACCTGGGGACAGCCCCGCAGCCAGATCATGTGGTGCCAGGGGCTGTATCCGGCCCACGGGCCAGGTATTGAGCACCTGTGCTCTACAGCCTTCTTCTCCCCAGATCTTTTCCTGCTAGATGCTTTTTGCTGTTGTTTCTGGGGTCGGCTGTCAGCCCTACCAGGCACTTCTCACGTGTTGGTCTAGTTGGGCCTCATCCAGTCTCTAGATTGTGGGGCCCCGTCTCGTCACCAGGATCCGTTGCAGACTCAGGGCTAAGCTCCCTGCCTCTGGCAGGCATGTCTGTCACTGCGGCCCCCATTATCCTGTAATGCCCAGGCTAATGCAGGGTCTCCCTGCTGTTCAGAGCCCAGCCCCCGCGGGTGCAAGTACATCCTGCTGACCTCCCAGGGCCCAGAAGACACCTGGAGGTGGGTGCTGCGGGACCAGGCTGCCCTGGCGCCCCCTGCCCCACCCCTGGGCAGGGTGCAGCAAGGCAGGCAGCACATGGTCACTTCCTGCCCCAAGTGCCCCGCCCCCTGCTCCCAGGCCCCGCCCCGCC